TCCAGCCTCCTTGGCTTAATGACCACATGAGAGTGCAATGTCAGTCCTGCATTTCACCTGCATTTCATGTATTTGAGGAAAGCGTGGTTTGCTATTTGCAAAGGTAATTGCTGTTATTTGATCCGTAGGAAAACGAGTTTGTTGTGTTAAGTACTCACACAATTAGTCACTGGCTGGAAGCCTCAGCAAATAGCAAAAGGCTGAATGTGCTGAAGATAGAAGAATGAATTAGCATGTCGCGCTCCCTTCCTCCTTTCAAAGATTGCATTTCCTTGAGGCAGTCTGAGAAGTTTGAACTCCAATGGTCCAAGCAGTATTTATTCTGCAAATAAAGTGTGAACATCTCTCCAGCCAGCCCTAGCCTATATTTTGGAAACAGGTAGAGAAATGTGAATGTGTTTTATTACACCTCCAGTTCAATACCAGTAGAGACCCAAATCACAGCCCACCTGATTTGACAGTGGGTAGTTGATTATTTTACCCTAACAATCATGATAGGAAAAAAAAAGGCAAATGGATTTAGTGATGATAAATTTTGTATAGTCTGATTTTTATTTTGCAAATGTTAACTTTTTAATTACCTGATACCTAGTCAGCTAGCTGTGTGAATGAATATAGGTCTTTAACAGTGAGCTCCCTTCAGTTAATAAACAAAAGCAATACTTCCAAATACATACATGTATGCTCTGTTTGTAATTTTGTACCCTAAAACATATGTTGTATATGTGTGTTTTAAAAACAAAATAAAGATGTTGCATACATGGTAGTATTTATAATGACACCAGATTTTAGGAAATAGTTCTAAAAATACCAGTCACTATGAACTAAATCCTCGGAAAGTTAATGCCGGTGCTGCTGTGGTGTTTTCTCCTCTCCCAGCCTGCCCCACGTCAGCTGGTGCAGTCTGCCAGTGGCACACAGGGTTTCTCGTCAGGTCCCTCTTCCAAAAAAAGTTCCAAAAAACGTTGGAGAGAAGTGCAGGCACAGTGCGGAGGGGAGAGGGCAAGAGGATCTACCTCACCAAGGGAAGAGCTGGAGGCAGTGGATAAGGGAATGTTAGATTTTATGCTTGAGAAATTATTTTTTTTCCATGGAAGGAAAAACCGTTAAAAAAGGAGGGGGAATTGGGATATAGAGATCGATGAGGCTGAGAAGGAGGAAATGAGAGTCATGGCAGAAAAAGCCATGCAGATCCTTAAGTACCATGTGCTGACCTTGCTTCCTTAGGAGCTTGGTCAAAACCAAGAAACACTGAAAAGGTTAAAATAAAACAAGCAAACCTTTCAGGTTTGTGTTGTACATTTCCAGACAACTACAAGTAGTCTTAAGGCTCTAGATGAATAGAATCACTTGCTTTGCATAATCATAAATTATATATATATGTTTTAATAAGCCTATTAAAAAGGGTGATGTGCAGTGTAATTTATGGATTAAATTTTGCCCTTGAATGTTTGTGAAGCTCATTATTGGGAAGCACATTGTGTATTCTGGGAAGAAATTTGACCCTCTTATTATAAATTCATCTTGTGCAAAGCTGATACAGTAGTGACTTAAACTTCCTCTTGGAGCATCAAATTTAAAGTTACTCTTTCTGCAAAACAGGTGGAATTTCTCATTGTCACAGGCAGAGGAAAGCAAGGTCAGATGTGCTTTACTACAGGAGCATCCAAATATAGCTGGTCAGACTAGGTGATTTTGTATCGTCTTCGAGGATGGAGAGGAGATACTCATATACACCAGTTTTACCTTAGAATGACAATATGCCTCAGCTCATTCTGTAGGTGGTGGATTCATGGTGGAGACACTCGTATATGTTAGCCTCTGTGAGAGTAACGCCCGCCTCTTGAATTAAAGCAATTGGAATAGGAATATAGGCAGCGTTAGAAATTGAAGGATAATCTGTTGTAAAGATCCATAGTTCACTTTGTTATGTTTGTCTTTAAGGACAAAAATCCAGTACTAATGTCAGTCCTTTAATGCCTGTCCATGTCTAATCCCTGCCTGTCGTGTGTCTGTACTAGGAAAAACAAGAAATGTAACAGAAACGTGTTACGGGGGGTTCTGGAGGCAGCGTGTGCCCATCCCTGCAGTGTCCTTGCGCCAGGGCTGCCGAGATGTTTCCTTGGGAGTGATGAGCCAAGAAATGCTAATTCCTGCAGGAGAAATAGCTGCTCTTCCCTTTGGCTCTGGGGGCTTGGTAAAAACTCTCCAGTGAGAGAGACCCAGTAAGCATTGGCCAATATTGCTTTTTCTTTTCCTTTATTTTTAACAAATCCTGCCAATCTCCAGCCTCCTAACTTCATCGGTACCAAAATTTCTGAATTTTCACATATCAATATCAAATGACCTGTGTGGATTTAACAAATATGTCAACACTGACTTGAAGTCCAGATGTGAACAGCAGCTTTTCATATATCTGATAATTCATGTAGAAAATATTTTGTTCTTTGAGTTGTAACACATGCAAATAAAGAATATAGGGGGTTTTTTCTTAGCAAAATATTTTATTTTTCAAGGTCTTTGGTTATTGGAGGTGCATTGTTGTCTAATTGACAAGTACTCCTTGTGCTCCGTCTTTTTGATGTTGCTTGGTGACAGTTGGTGCCACACGCTAATAAAACTGCTCTAGTAAACAATTCAGTGGGATTACTGTGCACTTGATGCCGTATACAATTACTGCGGTCAGTCTGGGTCACTTATGCGGAGTAATAGTTGTCATTGTGCTTTTGGGTGGCAAGGGGCAGGGAGATGTGCAAAGCAGGCAGACAGCATTCCCAGCACTATCAGCCACGTCTAGGAATTCTCTTTGGCGTAGTAACTCAAGGCAGATGTGCAAAACATTTTTTACATGGCTAAACCTGGAAGGCATACTGATTTTTGCCCTGCCTGCTTAGAGCTTTTCATTCTGAGCTTTTAAAAATTATTTTTGGTCTTGTTCATGAATAGCATGAACAAAGTAATGCCTTTTGTCAGTGGCAAGGCCGTGGATTAATTTTATTTAATTTTCACGAAAAAATTATTTACACTATCTACTATCTCCTGGGGATTCATTGTCCTATTCTAAGAGGTGTTGAGAAACCTGAAAGTTACTCTTACCGTCAAAAAAGGGTGAAGTAAAAATGGGAGATTTCTTTTTTGGACTTTATGGTGGGGAGTGAATTTGAAATAGAAGTTATTTTCTTTCAACTAGAAAAAGGGCAGGATCAGACTCCTTGATTTGTGTCCGCAAAAGACTTCTGTCTGAACAACCCTACAGTTATTCTAAGTGCTTTTCAAAGGTTGGAAGACTGTGCTCTTTTCACAAAAAGCTGTGAGAAGGTGGAGTAGGATAGGTCCCCGTACCTGAGGGTGTGTGGGTCTGCGTGTCTTGCAGAGGAGGTTAGATGATCAAGAACATCTTCTTGATGTTCTTCGTCGCACGGACATGCAGCCTCCTGATTTGTTCTAGTTACGTGTTACTTCAGAGCAATGTTGTTCCTGTAATCAGTCATTTCTCTGCTCAGCTATCTCTGAAGTGAATAGTTTGTAAGAAAGACTTTGTGAAAATCGTGTGTGCAAGATGTAACTAGGCTTAACTTCCCGCAAACCCGGATTTTTTTAAATCATTTCGGTCAGGGCAGGATGCTGCTCCATTGGAAAGCGGTACAGACACAAGGGTCTGGTCTGCTATGTGCGCCATTAAAGTTTTTCTATAAAGCTTGTTTGAATCCTCTCATTTTTAACTGATCTTGTTCAGGAGTGAGAGAAATGGGCATACTCTATGGGACCCCTGTGTTCAGGGGCCTTGGGAGGCCGGGGTTTTGCAGGAGTGTAGAAACTTGGGAAACGGCGGACAGGAAAGGCAGTGCACAGTGCAGCTCGGGACACACTATTTATTTTAGGCCTCCTGCAGATGAGACAGTGTTTTCCTAACGCTTCCACTAAAAATTCTCTTGTGCTTTAGAAGGAGTTTGATATAAAAATGATACAGGGTGCTGTTTACTGCCAGCTGCCGTGCTCCTTGGGGAAAAGGAGAGGCTGTCAGGGCTGCTCCTGTGGCTCATGTGTTTCACACCAAAATAAAAGTTGTGAATCCCCTAAATAAACGAGCCATGAGATTTAAAAGGGAGTTTTGATGCTTCAGAAAAATGCAATACAGCACAACAAATCCTTTTTTCATTAAAGGCTCTTCAGTTCAACGCAGATAAGCATCTCCTAGAGGCACTGTAGATCTTCCTTGTTACTTCAGGGTGTGTCTCTGCTCGATCGCCCAGTTCGTTAACGTAACTGGAGCTAATAAATAAATGCAGGGTGCCAGTCTGCCCTCTTCGTCTGCCTCGTGCTTTTCGAGACCAGGCTTCACCCTCTGCCCTCGCGGTGTGCGTGCCGTCCGAATGAAACGAGTGCCATGGTGTGAGTGTGCTTTGGTCCCTCCTGGAAGGGAGCACCAGGGCTGGGGGCACCTGTCGAAAACCAAGTTCTCCGTGGTTGAGTATTCCCTCATTCAGCATTGGCATATTACAGCAAAGTGTACTTTGAGAAATAAATATTAAAATATAATGCATTTATTAGCCTATTAGTTTTGTAAGCATGGTATTTTGCCCTTAATTTACTAAATCCTGATCTAGAGGCTTTGGTACCAAAGTGGCAACAGGGTACCTTAAAATAAGTGTCTAAGTTTAGGTGTCCAAACCGGAATACAGGAAAGACACTTCACCTACTGATATCTAAATTTTGTCCCTAGTGGAAGTGAAAAATTAAAAAAAAAAAACAAACCAAACCAAAACAACACCAAAAAAAAAAAACCCACAAATAAAAAAATGCTAAGTTTGAAAAAGCTAAGCAAAGTACATTAATTTTGTATGTGTAATTATATTTTTGCAACATTATGTGGTGTTACAATATAATTAGTTTAGGCAGCCAAAGTACAAACTGGAATGCTATAGTACTGTATGAAGAATATATTCCTACTAGTCTAAAATAGTTTCTTAAGTGATTTGTTTTTTTCTGCTTCCCTATAGATAAAAGCAAAAAATTATGACAAAGTGGAAAAGGTGAGTCCTATCAATATATGTAATATATGTCTATAGCAAGAACAAGTATCTTGTGATTAGGCTAAAGCAGACTGAAAAGAACTATCATTGAATGCACTGTTTAAAAACACAGATTAGAAGTATCACTAAACTGGATTTGCTGTTCCTACCGAGCTGTTAATCAATGAAGTGCACAGAGGAATTTCTCTGCTTAATTCTTTCCAGTTCCCTTGCGCAGCACGAAGACGCTTTAGTCAGAAGGAAGAGTAGTTTAACTTCTTTCTTACAAATCTCAATCATAATTACAAAGATTATTTTAAATCGTACTGTATAGCTTTAAAAGTAGAAACCTAATTTCTGTATCTGGAATCCTGATCACGTCTTCTTGATGTATTAAACAGTTATTTCAGCGATGCCTTATGAAGGTTTTACACATTGATTTATGGAAATGTTACCTTTCCTATGTACGAGAAACCAAGGGGAAGCTACCTAGTTACAAGTAAGTTAACAAGAGTTGCTCTGAATTGTTCTAGTTTTACCGTGAATCTCTTCTTGATTTTTGACTAGCGGGTGGGGAGAAACCTGGGTGGCAAACCTGTCTGGGGATCCTCTGGGAGAGTGTCGGGGGGATAGTATATAATCTGCATTTAGAAAACATTTTCTTTGATGTTTCGTTAATTGAGCTTGCTGGGTAAAATTGCTTCCTTAGTCTGGATCCATATAATGAGGTGGGACAAGAGCAGGGGAGTAGCTGGCCTGTCGGTGCCGTTCCCTGCAGGTGAGATAGGTGCTTGAGCCAGTCCGAAACGCAGTTCTTCCTCAGGGGGGACCTTTTGCTGTCCTCCCCCTTAGTGCCCTGCTTAGTCTCCAGAAAATTCAGCATCAATTCCAGCTGAAGTACTATATTTGACTAGCAATAGTAAATAGCTCAGTAATCAGAGAAAGTTTTGGAAGGCATAAAAATCAGGGTATCGTTTTGGGATGCATTAATCTTCATCCCTTTTCATTTACTACATTTTGTTTGTTTATAATCCTCCAGGCTGAGCTTAATGGTTTTTCTTCTTGCTTGAGATTTCAAAAAATATCAGTACCTCTCAGCATCAATAAACTGTTTCTTTCCCGGCCCACCATAATTTCTTTGTATTATAACTGGCAAGATAACTAATGCATTAACAGAAAAAAAGCATATTTTAAAAATGTATTTTTACGAGATTGTTTTGAAACAATTTTTTAAAGCACCAGGGCCGCCCCCCCCCCCCAACTTTTTATCTAATTTAACTTTCCTCTATTTTTCCTGCTAATATGGTCAAGGAGGTAGTAAGGTACTAAAAGATGTTTGAGTGCAGTAAACTGGGAGAAAAGTGGGGGAGAGAAAAGCTGGTTTAATTCACACTTGACCAAGGAAATAATCTGTGAACTTTTTACATTTGGGGAGAAAATACTTTGAATTTGGGGGAGACAAGAAATCATTTAAAAAATTTTGGCCTGTTTCCACACAAGGGAGCTACTCCTAATTGCCCTAGGAACCTTTTGGTGTTCCTGGAGAATTACAACAAGGTTTGGGGAATTCTGGGGCCACGGGTACATCTGTCAGCTAAGAAGATGTTAGAGAGCCGTTGTTTTCTGTCTTCTCAACTTCCAGTGCACATAGTACACGTGGATTTCCACTTACTTAAGGGGAGGGGGGGTGTCTCAGGAACTGTTAGTGTGCTAGATTGCCACCAGTGATTTAAATAATTTTCTTAAAAAAATAAACAGAACCCTAAATGCAGAATTTAAGGGTATCCAAATGCCAATTTTTACTCTCAGCTGTTAAATGATACTTTTCATACTTCAATGTTCGTTTAGAATTTGCTGCACAAAAGAATACTCCTTAAATAAAGAATTTTTTAAATACTGAAGACTTGCTCTATGGTTTTTGTGGTTTGTTTTTTTCCTCAGAGAAAAAATGGCTCAGGCATATGATTTTGCTCTGGATAAGATTGGCATGGAAATCATGTCATACCAGGTATGTTTTTTTAATCAAAAAACCATTTTATTTCTTACTTTATCAGAAGTACAACTAAACACTGGTTTCATTATATGTAATATTTTTTCTCACATAGATCTGGGTGGATTACATCAATTTTTTGAAGGGCGTGTAAGTACCTTAAAAGAATTTTTTTTAAGCTCAGTTCATGTAATGTTGATGTTCGTACCAGTTATGATCTGTAATAGCTGACGTTAATCTCTCTCCCCACTATTTAGAGAAGCGGTAGGATCTTATGCAGAAAACCAGAGGATAACAGCTGTCCGTAGGGTTTACCAGCGCGGTTGCGTGAATCCAATGATAAACATAGAACAGCTCTGGAGAGATTATAACAAATACGAAGAGGTAATCAAGAACATGAAAATTGTTTGTGACATTTAAAAAAAAAAAAAAGTCGTATGATTAAGTATGGTGCCCAAACTATATCCACTAAATAACTGTGTAAAAGAGATGACTGGCAGTATAAACACGTTTTGCTTGTGTTATGTACCAAGACCTGTGGCAAAACTGTACAGGTACCTGGATGATCTTTATTTCTTATTTTAAAGACTTTCTATAGGATACGTTTAACTGTCCCATTTCCCAGTTGGCCCAGTAGAATTGCTGGTGAATTAGAAAACACTGGTATCAGTGACGAAGAATGTATTTAATGGAAGCTAGAGCAGATCAGCTGGCAATGAGGGCTTCCTTCCCCAAGGAGGCACTCCCCTCCTTTCAGTTATAGTTGAACAGGCTAAAATGGCATTCAGCTGTGATAGCTTGTACTTCCTTCATGGTATTAAGTTATATGGTCTCAAGTACACAAAGTGTTCCTTACCATCCTTCACCTGAAGCCATTACAGCATCAATTCAGGTGAGTCTGCTACAATACTGTCTTCAGCAAGTGTAACCTCAGCTCGTTGACCTTGCACGCTAATTTGCAGCTGCACCTTTATAGTGTATTTGTAAACACAGTTTGCTAATGGCTTGTTAACCTATCCCCGTCAGCAGAGGTGAGAACGCAGAACTGAGGGTAGATGCCCTCATGCTCAGCACCGTCACGCGGGGATATTGGGACGTCACTTTTCCCTCCTGCATATTGGTTTGCAGGCGCCAGTGTACTGCGGGTCAGCTGTGCACTGAGCAGGAACGAAGAGACAATTTCTCTTTCCTTGTTGCTAATTATGCAAGTTGTAGGACTGGTGACCGGACGTAGGTCATAGGGCCGCTGTGCTTAGCCAGTGGGAGTACCTCCTGGCATCCGCAGCCACGAGCGAGTACTGCAAGGGCTCATCACCCCGTCGGTGCTCAGGGATGCCACAGATAGCCTGCTGATCACCAGGGAAGATACCCAGCAACATGCCTTCTCCCCTGTAGGCAAATCCCCAGAACAATTTCCCTGTAAACATCCCCCTCCCACGTAGCAAATGAAGGCTGTCGCTGGTGGTTCCTACTACTTTCATTAATACGTAGGGGCACTGTCAAGACGATAGCTGAACCTGTCCTACATTCGTTCTGTATCCTCTGCTAGTTGCGGCAGCTCTGGCTGACACCTGGAACACAAACCAGTACCTGTTCAGAGCTGCTGGAAGCTGCGGGCCGGCGCTCTGCTCGGACTGGGGCGCGTCCTGTTCTGGCTAAGCTGGCCTCGAGGGAAAGGGCTGCTGCATGCAGGTGTCCTGGCGCAGGGAGGGAAACACTCCTCACCAGCAGGGCTCTTCGAGGGGGAACCGATTCCCCCCATCAGTAGCCCAACAGCACAGAGATCGTGTGCAGGTCTCGGTAGGAAGGGTTACTGGCTATTTGCTGCAATTAAATACCCTTAAGCTTCCCTTTAGCTCAGTTGGTAGCCAGCGGGTAGCAATATCAGCCTAGTATCTTTACCAGTATCTTTAATTGAACTGGTCAAAAGATACTGGTCACCAGTATCTTTAATTGAACAAATGGTCAAAAGCGGTAACGCCCTTAGTGAGACAGAGAAGTGACAATCTTTGGCTCGCAAAGCCGCGCGGCTGCACCTCGCCAGGCTGGGAGCGCATCCCGGGAGAGCATTGCTGCGTCCTCAGCCCGCTCCTGCGTTGAACGGGGCGTTGCTGGTTTCGTATGCTAACTGGCCCCGACAGCTATCCCAGACAGCGCTCTGCGAGAGTCCAGGCGGCACCTTGCTTCTGTACGGCGGCCGTACCCAGCTCGGGTGGAATAGGACCGAGGAACTGCGCTCACCTTCCTCCAAAGTCCTGGCAAGCTGCGCCAGCAAACTCCAGCCTGACACAGGCGTGAACAAAAGGGCGGGTGTTACCTCGCCATAGGAGCGGTTCTTTGAGATTTCGTTCATGCCTGGGAGCCCGGGAGCAGGCCTGTGTGGCTGGTGTTGAGGGGTGGGTTGTGCCTGGGGGCCCGGCTGCCCCAAAGCCCCCGCTGCCCTTGCTCAGCAGCACGGCAGGGCCCTCTGCGCCTGCGTGCCGTCCTGGAGCGGTGCCGCTCTCTGCAGCGACAGGTCTCGGGTCTCGCTCGGCTGACAAAGGTATGTGTAGGGCAGGGTGTGTGTTGAATATAACCTCGTTTAAAAGCTGTCAGTTACTTTCGGAACAGAGGAGAAGGCAGAGCTTTGAGGTCAATCTCTGTTGTCACTTGTCCAAGAAAACCGAATTGCTCATATGCCGTCTCAGTCTTCACCTGGTGAACAGCAGGCAAGGCAGGGAGCTGTGACTCGGACCAGGCACTGACCAGGATTTAAAATGAAAAATGTAAATCGCAAATACATTCTTTCCACTTTCTCTCCCAGCAGGTTTATGTAAAGTTCACTGTATTTTTGAAAGTTCTAAGCGATTAAAAATATACTGAGGTGCTTCAGGTCAGTTTATTTTTTTAGTAGTGAGTTTATTCTCTGATAAATAAGTTCTTGCCCATATGTTTGTTAGAAGAAATGCAGTACTTTGAGATCAGTACTCAGGTGATCTTGCTCACCTTTGCATCCTCTTTCAAGCTCTTTTCTCTATGAAACATAGAGAATCGGTATTTCTGAAGTGAAATTGCACATTCCCAGTTCCTTTTTTTCATCCTTCTCCAGGGCATCAATATTCACTTAGCTAAGAAGATGATCGAAGACAGGAGTAGAGATTATATGAATGCACGACGTGTAGCAAAGGTACAAACTTATGTTGACTTCTCTTTGTTCTATTTAATTCTACAAACTAGCATTAAACTTGGTTCTTATTTTCAAAGGAAAGTGTGTGTTAGACTAATAAGGTTGGTATGCTAAAATATTTGTATCAGTTTTATAAAGCATAACCTAAAATAAGTCTTTAATGTGTCGAAATCTGCTGTTCAAAACATTGCTTCTGTTTCAGGAATATGAGACGGTGATGAAAGGTCTGGACCGCAATGCTCCCTCTGTCCCCCCCCAAAATACCCCCCAAGAGGCTCAGCAGGTAGACATGTGGAAGAAATACATCCAGTGGGAAAAGAGCAATCCTCTACGTACAGAAGATCAAACTCTCATAACAAAAAGAGGTAATTAGATATTGCGCTAGGACATGTAGAATAGCATTTTTCAGCTCCATTAATGATCTCCAACACAAGTAACGATGTGATTTAGTGTTCAGGGATCATGCTGGAGCAGAAGTTGATCAAGTTTTGTGACTGGTGAGGGTGGTTTTTCTAAACTGCTATTTAGTTTTTGCTCAAGCCAAGCTGAAAGTAATACCCGGGTTTGGAGGGACGGTGCTATAGTCGTGCACCACTGAACTTTCACTGCAGGTCAGGAAACGGTGGACCACAGCCTGGTGCTATGGCTGATGTTCTTGAATGAATTCTGCTGCTTCCTCTATGGAGGAGTTGGGTTTTAGCTGCTGGTTATGATTCATAAGGTTCCCGGCAATACAAAAGAACTGCAGTTGTGATTATTGTATTCAAAGCCAATTAGTGTTAGTATTCTCTGATTTATTTGCTGTTTTTTGTATTTCATACTTCCATTTCTGCAATAATATACAAGGAGTATTTCTTACATTTCCCCCCCTAGTTATGTTTGCCTATGAGCAATGCCTTTTGGTACTGGGACATCACCCAGATATCTGGTATGAAGCCGCACAGTACCTCGAGCAATCTAGTAAACTGCTAGCTGAAAAAGGGGTAAGCAGATTGCCGTTGGTTTTCTTTCTTATTTCATTTGACGTGGTGTACTGTTTGTTTTTCCTCAAATACTTAGAACCAAGGAGGGGGGTGTGAAAAATATTTAGCACCATAAGTTGTGTCATGTTCAGAATTTTAAAATTGGGACTCTTTTAAGAAATAAAAATATTTGTATTTGAGATAAGAATTATGAAAAACTATTTCAGTGTTGGCCAGTTTTAGGTCGGGGAGGGGTTTGGCCTGATTTTGTGATTGCCTAAGTACTGGGGAGATGATTGTCTCTTTATTGGAGCACTGCATGGAAGTTCACTGGGACTTTTCACACACAGAAGATATTCCATAGATTGGCCTTCATTGTCACAGATGCTGAACAATTATATTATACTTATTTTATAACAGGACATGAACAATGCTAAACTTTTCAGTGATGAGGCTGCTAATATTTATGAAAGAGCGATCAGCACTTTATTAAAGAAGAATATGCTTCTTTATTTTGCATATGCAGATTATGAAGAGGTGAGCAAAAATAGTGATGTACTGACATCAAAACCCAAAGACATCTCTCATCAATAATGTCATTTATTTGAACATACTGAATACACAGAATTCTATAGAATTAATTCACTGATTCTTCCAGCCTTAACCTCATTCAGTGTTTCTGAGACTGAACTGACAAAATGGAGGGGAAAAGCCCATAATGTGAGTTAGAAAATTTTTGAAAATCTACTGTCTTTCCACAGAAATATTGACTACGGTATTTTTCAAATTACTATGAAAGTGACAGGCTGATAGATTTACATTTACTGGAGCATCCGCTTCTTGACTTTTAAAACGAGGATGAAGAACACCTTTCCTATCCTATTCTCGGGGGTTTAGTGTTTGTATTTGTGTGGCTGTGAGGGAAGATGCACCCTGTACTGCAGCTTTCTTGGGAAATCTCTTTACCCAGGCTACGACCATATTGCACAGCCTCCGTAATGCGTAATGCTACGACCATATTGCACAGCCTCCGTAATGCGTAATGCCCCGACAGCGATTGGTCTTGCACATGAACCAGCAGGACTAAAGG